GAAAGAAAGAAAGAAAGAAAGAAAGAAAGAAAGAAAGAAAGAAAGAAAGAAAGAAGAAAAAAATATGGCGCCTGGGGGGTTCGGCTGGTTAAGCATCCAACTTGGGGTCTGAGTTCTGAGTTCCAGCCCCGCTTCGGGTGAGCTCAAGGTCTGCTCCTGACTCCAAGCTGACAGTGCAGAGCCTGAGTGGGATACTCTCCCTCTCTCTCTTCCCCTCGCTCACTCACACACTCTTATCAAAAAATTAAATAAACTTAAAAAAATAAATAGTAACAAACTGATAAGCTTAAAAGACAAAATCAGTTAAGATCTCAATCTCTCACCCCTCATATCCCTCATTCCTCATTCTCAACAGCTACCCACCTCTACTGACCCCACGACCCCATGTCTCCCCGCAGATCCACCGTTAGAGATCCCACCATCTCGATCTCTCCCTCACGGATCCACCTTCAGGACCCCACCGACCCCATCTCTCCCCGGTTCCACCCTCAGAGATCCCCCCGACCCCATCTCTCCCTCAATGATCCACCGTCAGAGATCCCCCGACCCCGACCCTATATCTCTCCTTCACGGATCCACCGTCCAGACCCCACTGACCCCATCGCTCCCCGCGGATCCACCGTCCAGACCCCATCGACTCCATCCCTCCCCGCGGACCCGCCCTCAGAGATCCCACCGACCCCATCCCTCCCCGCGGATCCACAGTCAAGACCCCATCGACCCCATGACTGCATCCACTGCCCGCCCCCGTCAGTGGCCGGATTGCTAACCACGGACCTCAGCGACGCTTCGTCACTCATCTCCCGATGCTCCCATCGCAGCACTCACCTACCCCTCACCCACGCCCTCTCAAAACAGTGGCCGTTTACCTCAGGTGGTGACTAAATCTGGCCGACTTCCCTTCTCGCTCAGCCCCACTCTCTGCGGGATTCCTCACGGGGCCGCCCGGGTGTGCGCATGCTCAGCAGCGGTTTCTTGGCCCCAGCTCGCGAGTACTTAACATGGCTCGCTGCTAAAAGCGGCTCCCTCCAAATGGCTGGCCCGCGCCAACATGGCGGCGCCCATTAGGCGCCCAGGCGTGCAGGCGGCCATGTTGAAGTGATGTAAAGACCGTGGAGCTCAGAGTTGTCTCGGGAAACGTGGTTGGGCGGAGGTGCTAGTCTGGGACTCAACCAGGAAACAACCAGAGCGAGACAGCCAGGAAACAACAACCGAGACCCTTCCCCTCGCTCCCGTGTACTCAATGCCACCATTTGAGACAATCAGCAATTATAGAACGTTTCACCCCAAAAGAGGAAGGTACACATTTTATTCAAGCACCCACGCAGCATTTGCCAAACTAGGTCACAACCTGGGTCATAAAACAAATCAAATTTAGTAAAACTTAAATCATACAGCCTAGTTCTCTGGACACAGACTCAAACTAGAAATCATCAGAAAGACAACAGGAAATTAACACTTGTAAATTAAGTGGGGGTTTTTTGTTGTTTGTTTGTTTAAGAAAGAGCGCTAGCTGGGAAGGAGCAGAAAAGGAGATAGAATATCTGAGGCAGGCTCTGTGCTGACAGCAGCAAGCCCCATGCAGGGCTCCAACTCACAAACCATGGGATCATGACCTGAGCAGAAGTCCAGCACTCAACCAACTGAGCCACTCAGGTGCCCCTAACACGTGTAAATTAAGCAACACAGCTCTAATAATCCATGGGCCAAAGAAGAAGTCTTGAGGAAATTTTAAGAATACAATGAAATAGGGGCACCTCGGTGGCTCAGTCGGTTAAGCGTCTGACTCTCAATTTCAGTTCAGGTCATGATCTCACGGTTTGTGGGATCCAGCCCTGCACTGGGCTCTGCGCTGACAGTGCAGAGCATGCTTGGGATTCTCTCTCTCTCTCTCTCCCCGTGCCCCACCCCACCCTCGCATTCACACGCATGTTCTCTCTCAAAATAAGTAAACATTAAAATATATATTTTGAATTAAATGATGAATATATAACTTATAAACACTTGTAAGATGCAGTAAAAGTGGTGTTTAAAGGGAAATTTATGGAATTGATTGCATAGTTTAGAAGGGAAGAAAGAACTAAAATCAATAATCTAAACTTCCATCTTAGGACATTAGAGAAGAGCAAGGTATTAAATATTATTATTAAAATGATATGGATATTAAATATTAAATATTGAATTCAATATTAAAAGGACAAAAAAGGAATTTTTTAAGAATTTAATTTTTTATAAGTTTTAACTTCACAGCAAAATTGAGAAGGTACAGAGATTGCCCATATCCTTGTAGCTCCCATACATCCACAGCCTCCCCCTATTAATATCCTCCTCCAGGGGCGCCTGGGTGGCGCAGTCGGTTAAGCGTCCGACTTCAGCCAGGTCACGATCTCGCGCTCCGTGAGTTCGAGCCCCGCGTCGGGCTCTGGGCTGATGGCTCGGAGCCTGGAGACTGTTTCCGATTCTGTGTCTCCCTCTCTCTCTGCCCCTCCCCCGTTCATGCTCTGTCTCTCTCTGTCCCAAAAATAAATAAAAAAAAAAAAAACGTTGAAATATCCTCCTCCAGACTTGTACATTTGTTACAACTGATAAATCTACATTGATGTACCATAATCCCCTAAAGTCCATAGTTTACAATATAGTTCGCTCTTTGTGTTATATAGTCTATGAGTTTGGACAGATATATAATGACAAGTATCCATCATTATGGTACCCTCTGTGAATATCCTCTGTTCTCTGCTTATTTCTCTTCCCCTACCTCAACCCTTGGAAACCATTTACCTTTTTTCTGCCTTCATAGTTTTTACTTTTCCAGAATATCATATAGTTTTCCAGAATGTCATATACTATCCTATAGTATATAGTACATAAACTTTGGCTTCTTTCACTTAGTAAATTTTTTTTTGGCTTGAAAGCTCATTTCTTTTTAGCACTAAATAATACTCCATTGCTGGGGTGCCTGGCTGGCTCAGGTGGTAGAGCAGGTGACTCTTGATCTCAGGGTTGTAAGTTCAACTCCCATGTTGTATGTAAAGATTACTTAGTTTATTTATCCATTCACCTGCCAAAGGACATCTTGTTTGCTTCCAAGTTTTGCAATTATGAATAAAGCTGCAATAAATGTTTGTGTGGGCATAAGTTTCCACCTCCTTTGGGCAAATACTAAAGAGTGCAAATGCTGAATCATATTTTGTGTGTATTTAGTTTTATGAGAAACTGTCAAACTGTATTCCAAAGTGGTTGTGCTATTTGCATTCCCATCAGCAATAAATGAGAGTTCCTTTGCTCCACATCCTTGCCAGCATTTGGTTTTTGTCAGTATTCTGGATTTTAGCCATTCTAATATAGTGTAATAGTGTCTCATTGTGGTTTTAATTTGCATTTCCCTGACGACATATGATGTCAAGCATCTTCTCATTTGCTTATTTGTCATCTATACATCTTCTTTGGTGAAGTGTCTGATAAGGTCTTTGGACCATTTTTAAAAATCAGGTTGTTTTCTTATTGTTGAGTTTGAAGAGTTCTTTATGTCTTTTGTATAATAATTTTTTGTCAGATGTGTCTTCTGCATATATTTTCTTCCAGTTAGTGACTTGTCCTTTGATTCTCTTAACATTGTCTTTTGCAGAGCAGTTTTAATTTTATTTTAATGTTTGTTTGTTTGTTTTTGAGAAAGAGAGACAGAGAGCCCACAACAGGGGAGGGACAGAGAGAAAGACACACAGAATCCAAATCAGGCTCCAGGCTCTGAGCTGTCAGCACAGAGCCCAATACAGAGCTTGAACTCACAAACTGTGAGATCA